TGGACTAGCCCCTTCTAATTTATCCTGGGAACAGAGGTTTACTCAGTCTGAGGATTAATATACCTTCCTTCTATCACTTTCTTGTACCCTTCTGGACTGACCCTGTCACACTGCCTATTGATATAACTACACTTTTGGACACCAACAGAAAAGAAAGAACCAACTTTCTCATTCTACAACTAATGAATATAAGTTTTAAGAACCAATGGAAAAGCCACTTTCCCCTTAATTTTATTCTACTTGCTAGAAGCTATTTTCACAGACCATTTGGACAAATACTCTGCACCCAAAATCTGGTCTCATCTCTTGTTCTTCAGATCTCACTTTACAGGTGAGGTAAGATAGCCTTTGGGGAAGCAGAAACTATATTTAACAACATAATTTCCCCCCTTCCGATCTGAAAATGTAGTCACCCAATTTCACACCATACATGTTCGTGGAGGCAGCCTACTAAGTAAAGTGCTGATGATGAGGAAGTCAATTTTATCAGCTGCAACTGAGAAGAGACTGGTCTCTGTGCACATCTCATAACATTCAAGGATGAACTTGGCACATTTAGTACACATTAAAAGAGTCCTAAGTGTGAAGGGTTGGGCAATTCATTTAAGATTGTTCTTGAGTACTACAATTATTTAAGACTTTAAAGAACAGCATTCAACATTTTTTTTATTCTCAGCAAGTCTAAGTGGCATGGTACACAGTGCACACTTACGTCTTTTGCTTAAAGTCTTCTAACTATGAATTTACTTATAAATTTAACCTGTCAATGAAAACTATTAACTAATTAGCAGTGGCCTAAATCTCTGTAGTCTCCAAGTTTATCCACATGCTTTTTGCATACCTACAAGTATTCTTGTGTTTCAGCCATAGGAGAAATACAATGAAACCTAGGACAACAACCATGTCAATTTTCCAAAGTGATCACTGGGAGTTCAGGGTATGTCTACACTACCATGCTAATTCAAACTAACTTAGTTCGAATTAGTTCATTCAAACTAAGCTAATTCGAACTAACACATCCAGACTAAAAAACTAGTTCGAATTAGCGTTTTGCTAATTCGAACTAGCATGTCCATACAGAGTGGACCCTGAACCGGGGTTAAGGATGGCCGGAAGCAGTCAGTGCCGGCAGGGCATCAGATTAGGACTTAGAGCGTGGAGATGCTGTCTCAGGCTAGCCGAGGGCTGTGCTTAAAGGGACCCGACCCCCACCCCGGACAGACAGTTCTCAGGGTTGCCCCGCTTGCAAAGCAGTCCTGGCTTGGATTGCCTGGATTACCCACACTGGGCACATCACAGCACTCAGCCATCAGACTGGCTGCACTTGCCGCAGGCTGCCATCTGGGGAGAGGAGGCAACCGGGGGGCTGCAGGAGAGGTTCCACCCCCAGAAGCCCGCAGAGCCAGCCCAGTCCTCCCCATCGGGGGCTCGTACCCCATTCCTCCCTCACCTCCATCCACTTACCCCTCCCTAGCCCCCCTTCCTGATGTACAAAATAAAGGACACGTGTGGTCAAAAATAGAATCTCTTTTTATTGAACAAAACTCGGGAAATTGGGAAAAGGAGGTGGGAGAGGGGAAGAGAGAGGGTGGGAGAGGGGAGGGCAACTAAAATGATCAGGGGTTTGGAACAGGTCCCATATGAAGAGAGGCTAAAGAGACTGGGACTTTTCAGCTTAGAAAAGAGGAGATGTAGGGGGGATAGAATAGAGGTCTATAAAAGCATGAGTGGGGTGGAGAGGGTGCATACAGAAAAGTTCTTCATTAGTTCCCATAATAGAAAGACTAGAGGACACCAAAGGAAAGGAATGGGTAGTAGTAAGTTCGAACGAGGCTTAGTCCTCGTTGAATGAGGTTTACCTAGTTCGAACTAAGCGCTCCGCTAGATCGAATTAAGTTCAAACTAGCGGAGCGCTAGTGTAGGGCCTATCAAAGTTAATTCAAACTAACGTTTGTAGTGTAGACATACCCTCAGATAGATAATGCCTCAAACCAGTATTTCTATTCCAATGTCCTTTGCAATAGAAGTGCAACATCTCATTTTTCCCTCAACCTCCTTGTCCCAATCAGAGGAGCACATTGGGGACACACAGCAAAGAATATGACCTAAAACAGTGGTCTCCAACACGGTGCCTGTGCGTGCCATGGCGCCCATCAGGTCATTTCTGTGCACCCGCCGAGTGATCAGGGCCAGCCCCGCCACTGAGGCATAGGGGCAGTGCTAGCCCCCGTGCGCATGGCACAGGGGCGGCCTTGCCCCCGGGCATGTGGTGCATGGGCTGTGACGGCCCCAGGCACGTGGCATACGGGCATCCCTGCCCCATGGCATGCGGCACAGGAGAGGCACTGGTCCCAGGCGCACGGCGCATGGGCACTGACGGCTCCTGGGAGCACGGTGTATGGGCATCCCCACATCTGGGCATGCGGCACAGGAACGGTGCCGGCCCTAGGCATGCAGCGCATGGGCTCTTCCGGCCTTGGGAGCGCGGTGCATGGGCAGCCCCGCCCCCGGGCACGTGGCACAGAAGCAGCACCGGCTCCGGGTATGTGGCACAGAAGTGGCACCGGCCCCGGGCGCGCGGCGTATGGTCAACCCCACCCCTGGGCATCCTGCACAGGAGTGGTGCCGGCTCCAGGAGTGTGGCGCATGAGTGGTGCCGGCCCCGGGCACGCAGCGTATGGGTGGCCCCGCCCCTGGGCACCCGGCAGCCCCAAAAGGTTGGGGACCGCTGGCCTAAAATAACAAGTACTTTGATTAGAAAGTAGTGACATAAGACTTACTAAGGACTACGATTTATGGGATTAATGTAATAATCACTGAATAAAATGCTATGGCCTGAACTATGCAAAAGGTAGCAGGAGATCATCATAATAACCGTTTCTAGCATTAAATATCTATGAATTTACGCGAAGTTACTCCCCCCTCAAAACCCCATAATTCCTTCACCCAATTATGTAAAGATGCCCTCAGGATAAGTTATAAGTACACTATCAACTTCACATATGATCTGAACTCTAGAACTGTGACAACATACACTACATCTACAAAAAAGACATTCATCAGAGGGCCCTATTTATTAAACCCTACTACAATATTTCTACTAAAATAATACTACAGTGAAATACTGCAATAATATCAGTTACTTTAACTGCCCCTCCCGATATGTTCTTAGCCTGTACAATGCATGTGTGTATGAGAGATCACATATGTATCATACCTATGAATTTTTAAAATGAATGTCTTTAATGATTTCTATACTACAGCATACATGTATAAATACAAAACTGGAACTTCAGATACGCATACTGATAGTGGAAATATTGATCTCAAATACTTTATACTTGAAGATATTAGAAATATTTCTGTTTTTTACTTGATACATTGAGATAAATAATGCTTTGATTTTCTTACTCCAACTTTTAAAAAAAAATTATATCTTCTGAGAACATTCAAATATTATATACGCCTAGAAGAGAACACATACTTTTTCCAACAACAAAAAGCACCACATAATACAAGAATCACAGACATTATACAAGAGTCCTTTCCATTCCATTTGGCAGAAAAAGCAGGGCTGTGCTCAACACTATGTTTTTTAGTATTCTGCCCAGTGTGACAGGAGTCTGAAGTAAGAGTCATTATTCCACCTCCACAGGAGACTATTATACAGTCTACAAAAAGGGGTCTGATCTTGAAAACACTTATTAAAATGGGCATAGTACTTTTAACTGAGGGTAGTTCCATTGGAATCATTGGAATTCCTCAGTCTTAACTACAGTGACTACCAGACTATGTCTAGACTGGTCAGTTTTTCCAGAAAATCAGCCGCTTTTTCAGAAAAACTTGCCAGCTGTCTACACTGGCCGCTTGAATTTCTGCAAAAGCACTGACTTCCTACTGTAAGAAATCAGTGCTTCTTGCGGAAATACTATTCTGCTCCCATTCAGGCAAAGGTCCCTTTTGCGCAATAGCTTAGTGTAGACAGCTCAGATTTGTTTTCCGCAAAAAAGCCCCGATGGCAAAAATGGCAATTGGGGCTTTTTTGCGGAAAAGCGCGTCTAGATTGGCACGGACGCTTTTCCACAAAAAGTGCTTTTGCAGAAAAGCGTCCATGCCAATCTAGATGCTCCGTTCTGAAAATGCTTTTAACGGAAAACTTGTCCGTTAAAAGCATTTCTGGAAAATCATGCCAATCTAGACGCAGCCCCAGTGTTTGCAGAAGATGCTCCTATCTAAAGTACATCCACTAAAACTGAATTCACAGAGTTAAGAGCCTAATCTAAAGGCCAATGAAGTTAACTTCAATGGATTTCATACCAGTTCCTAAGTTCCTAATGTATAGTAAGGGGGACTAACATTGCTTGCATTGTTTAAAGGAAATACACAAATTAACCCAAAACAACTTTTAACTTTATATTTTCAATGTATACTATGAACATAACATAAAAATAACATTAGCCTTTTGCTTTGCCTATAAGATGAGGATCTACAGAAGAAGAAAAGTACACAAGGGCTACGTCTACACTGGCCCCTTTTCCGGAAGGGGCATGTAAATTTCACGAGTCGTCGTAGGGAAATCCGCGGGGGATTTAAATATCCCCCGCGGCATTTAAATAAAAATGTCCGCCGCTTTTTTCCGGCTTTTAAAAAAGCCGGAAAAGAGCGTCTAGACTGGCCCCGATCCTCCGGAAAAAGTGCCCTTTTCCGGAGGCTCTTATTCTTACACTTCCTCCGGAAAAGGGCGCTTTTTCCGGAGGATCGGGGCCAGTCTAGACGTTCTTTTCCGGCTTTTTTAAAAGCCGGAAAAAAGCGGCGGACATTTTTATTTAAATGCCGCGGGGGATATTTAAATCCCCCGCGGATTTCCCTACGACGACTAGTGAAATTTACATGCCCCTTCCGGAAAAGGGGCCAGTGTAGACGTAGCCAAGAAGAGGAAAGGTTCAAATAAGCTGCTCTTTATATTTTAGTTTATTCATATTAAATGATTGTTTTATTACCATTCTCTCCATCAGACTTCCTTTCATGGTCAGTATCAGTGAGGGACAAAGCTGAGTTTGCCCGGCTTGACAAACAGGAACTGTGTTCTGATTTCATTCCTGCCATCCACATCCTCAGGCCATGATCTGGGGAAGCACCACCTTCAGTCTCAGTATCCACATCTGACCCCATCTCCAATGGGTAACCATGTTGAGACACACCATGCAAGTCTGTTTGGTAGCTAGAGCACACAATGTGTGGAGTTTCACAGAATTCCATCTCTGAAAAACACAAATGTTCAAAGAAAATTTAGAAATGAGAAGCAATATTCTTTTTGACATACTCCATTTGGGGGAAATATGTTTTAGCCCTATAAATCCAGCAGATACATAAAAGGACAGAGAGCAATGTGGGGATGGTAGTTACACTGGGAGGAGGATATACTGTATACTGCAATCTGTAGATCTCTGCTCTAGAGGTCTGGGGATGGAGGACTGGGGAGGTTCCCTATGTTGGGAAGCAGGTATTAATTGCACTGCCCCAACACAGAAAGAGGCGCACAGCTGGCTCCTAATTATGGGGGATGGGCAAGTCCGCAGATTGATGGATGTGGCTCAGGGCCCCCTTGGCTGTGTAAAAGTGTTAAGGATATTCCCCATAAAGGTGATTTGCCCAAGCTCTGCACTCCCCTAAGTACAGCTCTGTCTCCACTACTCCTCCAGTCACCAGCAGCAGCTATTGCTGCTATTCCTGCCCTCCGCCTTGGTAGAGACCAGTTACTGCAGGTGACTGGATACTATCAAGTTCTCTTTTCCAGTGGACTTTCCTGTCAAAATCCAGACACCTAGCAACTCTGTTTACAATATAGTAAGTTAATACAAATATTTTATCACCTAATGTCATACAAACATGGAGGACCAAGAGCTTTATGCCAGTACTTGCAGTTTTCCCTAAGTTCAAAATAGGGCTAATAATTAGCCCATTAAAGTCCTACACAGTTATAGCAAAGTATCAATGACATGAAAACTAAAGGAAATAAGGAAACTAGGTTCTGTGTTTAAATGGGGATTGCAGATGCCAAATTTTCACCCATTTCTTTCTGGACACAATCATTTATTACCAAAAATTGTGTCAAACAGCCAATTTAGAATTCTGATTAAATGGCATAGGTTACCACAGAAGTTGACACACTTTTGACTCTAAGTTAAATATCTAAAAAATGTTAAAGGACAAAAAGCCTCTGATGATTAGCTCAGAGTCAGCTTTGGAAACAATCCTGGTGAAATATATAGAGAAAGCCATAGATTGAGTCAGTAGAAACTATCCATTAGAATAATGAGTCAGTTTCAGAAGGTAGTATCACAAAAGTGGAAGAAATAAATATCTTCTATTATATAAAATCCACAATTATTAAAAAGAAAGGAAGATGTTCATTTATTAAAGATGCATAAGACTCAGAAGTGGTCAGAATGACCTCATACATTTGATTGATTTTTGTGACTATCAGGACTCGATATATAACTGTAAAGAGAAGATACTTTGGAAAAATAAATAATTTACTTACATGGAGTACACTTATTATTTAAAGATAAACATTTTTTTATTTACTGATTCCTCACTGTAATTTTTTTCCTACAGAATTAACTACTGGGCTGGACTCTAATCTCAATTCTTCTATAAGTACACAGTAAATCTACTGATTTTTGGATTTCATCAGAGTAACTGAGATCAGACTCTTGCCTATATTTTAATGAGCTGATAGGATACAGTCACTTTGCAAGGGCCTGATCCTGTGTGTCTGTGCACGCAAAATTCTCCACTGAAGTCAATGCCAGTGTTGCCTGTATCAGAACTGCAAGCATGTGAGGAGGCTTTTTTGTGTTGTTTTTCATGTTTGTCTTTAATTTGGTAATCTTGTAGCATTTTCCATTCTTTATTTTTAGCAGCGGATGGGTAGATAAGGTAACTTTGTTC